CAACAGAAAACATGTCAGCAAGGCTTCTGTGCACACATGCTGCTGTCCTGCTACGTTACTGAAGATGGCTTCTGCCGGGAATGGCAAACTCGTGAAGCTGGCTTCTGCCCGGAAGGGCAAACTCGGCTCCTTGAGCCACTCCGCTCCAGTGAAAGGCACCTGACAACGCACACGGCTCCACCTGTGCAGCTATACAAGGGGAAGGGGCTTCAGGTTTCAGCACCCCTCCTTTATGCGCCCGAAAGGGCTCGCATCAACACTTCAACGTCCTGAAGACCCTGGCTTAGTCAGCTCTGGTCTGTTCCTCCAGTCATTCAAGCAGTACTGACACATAGGCTTCTTGATGGCTCGGGAAGCGTGTCGAAGACCATGACAGTCAGGTCTGATGTGGATCCGATCTCCATTCGGACTCACACACAGATCTCCTTCCCAAGGCTGCACAATGTATCGAATACTTGAACCCACCGCTGAAGGGTAAATCACTCCTTGAGAAACAGCAGGCTCGGGATCCGTCTGAACCCCTCGGCTCCATTTCTGCGTCTGCACTCTCTCCGCACTCGGCGCCGACAATCTTGATGTCGAAGTAGTAGGAACTCCAAGCCCTCCAGAGTTTTGAAGTTGAAACTTGTTAATCAGCACAGCAAGACGTGCCTCTTGCTCAACTGATCTTGTCTCCAGCCCCAAAAGTCCCAGTAGCTCCTTTCCTTCAGGCTTTGAAAGGCCAGGCTTCACATCTGGCTTCATCATCTTCATCTTCACAGCTCTTTTGACTCCTCCAGCGGCCTTCTTAGACCACTCCCAGACCAGAATTGTAGTGATCATCACAATCAACACAGCTATCCAAAGCTCGTGATCAGAGTCCACACCAGTGTACACATGGAGGTCCTTGTCTCCGAACACGCCAACAACCAACCCAAGTCCTATTACAACCTGGATACACCTACTCAGGGTCCTTCCATTCACAACTGTTGCAAATGTTGGGTGTTCGGTGGTTGCTGTGGAGTCTGCTGTTGCTGCTGTGGAGCGTTCTGTTGCCACTGTGGAGTGCGCTGTTGCTGCTGCGGCGGGATCTGCTGGTGCGACCTCCACGTCTTCGTTTTCGAAGAAGTTCACCTTCTTGATGCCTCTTAGGGCAGGTCCCTTCATAAAGCCCCAGGCTTCAAAAAGCCTCCATGATCTCTCCGAAGCGAGCTGCTTTGTAAGTCCGTCTGCAAGCTGGTCTAGCCCGGGTTGATGTATAAGCTGGCACTCACCTGACTCAACCAACTCCGCCAGCCAATGTTCACGTAGTCGTAGATGACGTGTTCGCCAGCTTCCTCCCGAGTTCGCCACTGCAATCGCCGCAGCGGCATCCACTCTCAGCTCACACTTGTCCGGGAAGATGCCCATGTCTTGCAACGTAGTCCTGACTGATCGCACAAGCTGAGCTCCCTCACTCAAAGCAATAATTAAGTTCTGCTTCAGCGCTGCTCAGGGCGGTGAGCCCTTGGTTCGTCGCCCTCCAACACACCGGAAGTCCTCTCCAAAGCACGACAGTGCCGGAGATGGATTTTTCCCCCGCTGAGGAATGTGACGCGTCGCTGTACATCACCAGGCGGCGGGGCTGGCCTCGGCTAACCACAAAACCAGCATCCCTTGTGCTGTTATAGTAGGACAAGATCTTCTTGGCGATTTCTAGATCTTTCTGGCCACCTAGTAGTCAGTCTCGCCATCACCATCGCCGCATAGGAGGCGTCTGGGCGCGACCTCTGGGTCGTCCAAAGGATTTCTCCGCACCTCTGCTGGGCTTCCTTCACAAGCTCGGGAGAGCGGTCCGGGTTCTCGGGAATCGCATCGGTGGCCCATTCCTTGTCACTTGTCAAAGGGAATCTTGCTGTAGGTACTCACCTGGTGCTTACGCAACAACTCATCCACATAGCCCCGTTGGTTGACCTTCATGTCGCCCTCCTCCGTCAACGAGAGTTCCAACCCAAGAAACCTCACCACCGAGTTCTTGGAAACCACTTCTCTTCCGCTCGTTTCCCACGTAGCTCCCAACCAATCATAGAAGCCGTGCACATACTCCTGAGGTCCCACGGCTAGGGTGTCATCAACGTAGAACAGGACATATCCCTTGATGCATTCACTCCCGTCCTCAAGAACCTCCACCAGCTTGCGCAAGTTCTCGTCCGTGACGCAGGCCACAATCTTCATCACTCCTCCTGTGGTGAAGCATACCTTGCCCTTCGCGCCACCGCGTTGCGGTACTCTGACCACCACTTTGGACTTCGCTGAAATCCATACACCGCAGCTGTGGCCAGCCACAGCTCTCCTGCTTCCGCCAAGCCTGCCCGCACCGTGGCTCGTGGAGCTTCCATAGCATATTTTCTGCCATTCGGCTGCTCAGGAATCGGGGCTCTGAGGAACGCCGTCTTGATGTCGTCGGTGACTGCAATCCAGCCGGGAGTGGCATTGACCTCGGACAAACAGAGTCTTACCAGATCAATCGTAGCTCCAGCCGAATACACATCACCGAGCTCCTCCGCTGACTCCCCAGAGAAGTTGCCACAGGCAACCCCCGAACATTACGGCGGTAGGTCCCAGGAGTCGCTCCGGGCTTCACCGTAAATACCAGTTTGCTTGGTACGATGACAATGTTCGGGTCTTGCGTCAGGGCCTTCGCTTCGGCACCCTTGTAGCGCTTGATGGCTGGCATCTGTTCCAACGCGGTAAGTTCTGCCTGCATTGCTGAAACCCACTTGTCTACCACAGGTAAAACTTCACGAGGATCAACAGTATGAGTCACCTTCAGCGGGTTGCCCTCGTCAACAGCGTCCAAGATCTTCTCGATGTTGGCGGTGTACAGGTTCTCCAAAGCTGCCTTTCCAATTCGGGCTTCCCCTTCATCGGCAAACTCTTCCTCGCACACCTCCACAAAACACAGAGGATCATCTTGTTCTTGAACACTTATCACGGCCAACCTTGGTATCCCTCCACGAAAGTCCAGGTCTGGTACAGGAGGCTCTCCACCGTCTTCGCGAGGCCCATCAGCCTCAACAGGTCGAGCCACCACCCGACGATGAATCCAAAGGACAACCATCTCCTCAATATTCAGCACCTCGTTGTAGACCTTACAGGCCTTTATCCAGTTTGCTGTCATCCCTTCTGGATCAAAGCTCGGGGCCCTGGTAGTTGTCATTGCCATCATGCGCCCCACACGAAGCTCCTCCCCATCGTCGTTGACCAAGAAAATCCTTGGATGCTGCACCCAGTCTCGGCCCAAATCCGCCACGATGGCCGCAGGAATCACAGAGTTCAGGTCCCCATCTTGAGGATTGATGTACCTCCACCTTGCCGCCATGTCTGCAATGTAGTGGTCCGCTCCATATCTTGCGCTGGTAGAGATCCACTCCTCCTCAGTCATTCGGATATGCATACAAGTCTCCACAGGCTCGAGCTCCACCTCCATCTGCTGAGGTTCCTGAGTCTCCCCGCCTTCATTGCCAAGAAGCTTGCATATCCTTGGTACCTGAGAACTCACCAACTCTTGGGGAAGCTGGAAGCCCAAAGCCTCAACGATCTCCTCGTTCAACTTGGTGATTTTTTCCAGGCCTCTCACATTGTAGACCGCCAAGACTAGTCGATCACCACTCCATGGTCTCGTTGCATGCCACATCCTTGAGTTGAACGATATAGTCCGCCTGTTCCCCTCCTCAGACTGAAAAGACCCCACGTGACCCGTTCTCCATCCAGCGTGACGACTTCGTCTTCATTGAGCTCCTCTCCGGCCCGGAGTTGAACCCACAAGCCGCCGTCCTTAAAGTCACTGATGGGGATGAGGTAGGACTCCTTGTTCTTTGTGCGAATCGCGATGTCTCTTCACGCTCAAGTTCCGATGCATGGAGAACGTAGACCAACTCGCTGACTTCCCAAGCTTCTCACGGATGAACAAGTTCACAACCTTGGTGGCCAGAGGGTAGTCCTTGGTTGAGTTTCTGACACCCAACACACCTCCATGACGGCACACACCTGATGCCCACGCCTTCGGTGGCAAACCATTGACTCCACGATCATCAGTCTTTCTGGGAATTCTCTGGTCCGGCAACAACACAAACAAGCGCTCCACCACCGACTCATCGATCCTGAGACCTTGACTAAGGACTGTCTGCGGATCTCCTTCTGATCGCCAGGTGAGTCATCTTCGTCGGGTTCATAATCGGGATTGCGTCCGAGAACAGCAACACGAGGACTCTGAACCTCACGGCTATCTCGAGCATCTCCAACGCCACAGCTGTGACAACTCTCCTCCTGGTCACTTGACAAATCATCGTCGTAATGTTCCAGAACAAGATTGCCATGGCGTACTGCAACGCGAGGTGCCGACACAACTTCTTCACCTTCCCGAACATGACTTAAGGCCCAGATCTCCTCCTGATCGCTCGGTGAGTCTTCATCGTTGGGTTCCAGATTGGGATTGCGTTCGAGAACAGCCACACGAGGAGCTGACTTGCCATGTATTCTTCTTCTCCTTGGCGAGGACGCCGCAGCATCCTCAAACCCCAACCTTTCCGATTCCTCCTCAAGCTGATACTCACCCGCATCAACTAGCCTGGCCTTGTCCCGCACGCTCCGAGTGTGGGTGAAGATGCCATCGACATACTACACCAAGTGTCCTCCAGCAACTTGATCAGAAAGACCCAAGTAGACACCCTCGGACCAACGCTCGTCAAACTCCAGCGAATCAAAGCCCTCGAAGCTGCATACCTCCGCTTCTTCACCAAGACCTTCGAGCCAAAACTCGTCAACATACTGGGAACTTGTTTCAAAACTCGGGTCCTCTGCATGGTAGCTGCGGCCTTAGCTGCCACCGGCCAGAATGACTTCTCCAAACCTGAAGTGGATAATATCTTCCTGGTCGCGAGCTTCAACTCCTTCACCGCGCACCTTGTGGAACACCAGGAGTACTCGTAGAAGTCCTTATCGCTTGCTGATGCAGCCACTGAACCAAAGGCCTCGCCGTCAGCTGAGCCGCTCGGTCACTGTGAAATCTTAGCACCGGTATGTTCAGGCTCTGGAGGTACAAGACAATCGACTGGATCGCTGAGGCAATCGTGGGTCCCGTGTCATTGAGGAGCGGCTCGGCAAACAGGAGATGAGTAGCTCGGTGAGCAACCACATCCATAGGAATCGGTCCAACCCCTGCCCCGGTGTCTTCGGCGAAGTCTTCGGGTTGCTGCCCATAGTCCTCATCAGCGTCCCCGAAGTCAAAGCTCACCACCGCGCCACCAGGATCCCCATCATCTCCATCACACAAACCCACCTCCCTCTGAGGCTCCTTAGCCTCCTCCGCAAAAGGATCGTGGTCGTCAATATCTTCTTCCTGGGACTCACATCCTGTAGGCTCGAACTTCCCGGTGGCGTATTACTCTGGAATGGAAAACTTCGCCACCAACAAATACTTCATTCGAGCAACCTTCGCCCTATCGCCTCGAGCGCTCGGATCTTCCCCCGTAGTCCTGAAAGGCCCCGTGATGTCCACGTTGAGGCAGAACAGCGAAGGATATTCGATCCTTGCGCGGCGATGACCTGTCGCACCATGGACCACACATTGAAGACAATCTCGTCGCGCAGGGTAATGTCCGGCTCGTACGTGTTCCTTCCATTGTTCTGGGGACATAGCTCTGAGGTAGCCGTCCTCCCCACAAGCCCGCTCCTTGAAGTAGTTGCAGCGAATCGCCCTTGCTACCTCTTGCTTCCAGAAGATCGGCCATTCTCCATTCAAGCCTCGCCTTGTCCCCTCCTCAACCTGACACCCAGGCTGCAAGCTGCTGAGGTTGTAGTTGGTGAAGACGAACTTCTCCAGGTCCAACTTGTCCATCGACGCCACCTCCTGGAACCCTTCAAGCAACTTGGCCGCATCGGTGTCAGCATTGGCTCTTGGACACGTCCAGAAAACCCTGTTCTCTGCGTGGGCCTCCCCACAATGTACAACGTCATCGCCCTCGCCAGTTTAATCACCTGCCCTTCCCTTTCCATCGAGGTGGCAGGGGTAGCTCCAATGATCGCTGCTAGTCTTCCGGTGGCTGCTCCCCACAGCAATGCTCGGTAGGTTGAGAGGTCCAAAGTTCCCGGAAGTGAAACAACCACTGCATCGTCACCATAAGCTTCTGGCTTCAAAGGCTGTTCATCACGAAGAACTGGCAGGTGGA